CTAGTGGAGCCGTCAGGTTCCCGAAGGCCCATCTCTATGGGTAGAGTTGGGCCTTTGGGCCTTTTTGAGGCTCCCTTGGGTGCCTGCTGGGCCCTCCTCGGGCTCTTCTTCGGGGCCTTCTTGGGCCCCCCTTTGGCCACCCGGGGCCCAACTATATGCATAGAGTTGGGCCCTTGCGCTTTCTTCAGGTCCCTCTTCGAGTTTTCTTGGGCATTCTAGGCCCGCTTGGAGCTAATTTGCGGGTCCCTAGTGGAGCCTTCAGGCACCCGAAGGCCCATCTCTATGGGTAGAGTTGGGCCTGTGGGCCTTTCTGGGGTTCCCTCGGGGGCGTGCTGGGTCCTCTTCAGGCTCTTCTTTGGGGCTCTTTTGGGCCCCCTTCGGCCGCCCAAGGCCCAACTCTATGCATACAATTGGGCCCTTGGGTTTTCTTGCGTTTCCCTTCTCGTTTTTGTGGGCTCCCTAGGCCCGTTTGGAGCTAACCTTCGGGCCCCCAGTGGAGCCTTCAGGCACCCGAAGGCCGATCTCAATGGGTAGAGCTTGGCCTTTGGACCTTTTTGAGGCTCCCTTGGGGGCGTGCTGGGCCTTCCTCGGGCTTGTTTTTTCTGGGCCCTCTGGGGCCCATGGGGCCTCCCAAGGCCCAACTCTATGCATAGAGTTGGGCGCTTTGGCTTTCTTGAGGTCCCCTTTCGGGTTTTTTTTTGAATTTTCTAGGCTCGATTGGAGGTAGTCATCGGGGCCCTAGTTGGGCCTTCAGGCACCCGAATGCCGATCTCAATAGGTAGAGTTGGGCCTTCGGGCCTTTTGGGGGCTCCCTTGGGTGCCTGCTGGGCCCTCCTCGGGCTCTTCTTCGGGGCCCGTTTGGGCCCCTGCGGCCTCCCCAGGGCCAGCTCTATGCATATAGTTTGGCCCATCGGGCTTTCTTGAAATCTCATTTCGGGTTTTCTTGGCCTCCCTAGGGCCGCTTGGAGCTAATGTGCGGGTCCCTCGTGGAGCCTTCAGGCGCCCGAAGGCCCATTTCTATGGGTAGAGTTGGGCCGCTGGGCCTTCTTGAGGCTCCCTTGGGGGCCTGCTGGGTCCTCCTCGGGCTCATCTTCGGGGCCCTATTGCCCCCCCTTCGGCCACCCAAGGCCCAGCTGTATGCATAGTGTTGGGCCGTTGGGTTTTCTTGAGGTCCCCTTTCGGGTTTTCTTGAGCTCTCTAGGCTCGCTTCGAGGTATAATCTTGGGGTGGAGCCTTCAGGCACCCGAGTGCCGATCTCAATGGAGTTGGGCCTTTGGGCCTTCTTGAGGCTTTCTTGGGGGGCCTGCTGGGCCCTCCTCGGGCTCTTCTTCGGGGCCCTCTTGGGCCCCCCCCCCTGTGGCCACCCAAGGCCCGACTCTATGCATGAATTAGGCCCTTGGGCTTTCTTGAGGTTCCCTTCTGGGTTTATTGAGCTCTCTAGGCCCGCTTGGAGCTAACCAGTGGGTCCCTAGTGGAACCTTCAGACACCCGAAGGCCGATCTCAATGGGTAGAGTTGGGCCGCTGGGCCTTCTTGAGGCTCCCTTGGGGGCCTGTTGGGTCCTCCTCGGGTTATATTCGGGGCCCTATTGCCCCCCCTTCGGCCACCCAAGGCCCAGCTCTATGCATAGTGTTGGGCCATTGGGCGTTCTTCAGATTCCCGTCGGGTTTTTTGGGGCTCTCTAGGCCCGCTTAGACCTCATCTGCGAATCCCTAGTGGAGCCTTCAGGCACCCGAAGGCCCATCTCTATGGGTAGAGTTGGGCCTGTGGACCTTCTTGAGGTTCCCTTTGGGGCCTGCCGGGCCCTCCTCGGGCTCTTCTTCGGGGCCCTCTTGGGCCCCCTGTGGCCGCCCAAGGTCCAACTCTATGCATAGAGCTGGGCCCTTGGTTTTTTTCTTCAGGTTTCTTCTGGTGTTCGTGAGCTCTCTAAGGCCGCTTGGAGCTAACGTGCGTGTCCCGAGTGGAGCCTTCAGGCACCCGGAGGCCGATCTCAATGGGTAGAGTTGGGCCTTTGGGCTTTCTCGAGGCTCCCTTGGAGGCCTGCTGGGCCGTCCTCGGGCTCTTTTTCGGGGCCCTCTTGGGCCCCCGTGGCCTCCCAAGGCCCAACTCTATGCATAGAGTTCTTGGGATTTTGGGCCTTCTGGGGGCCTTCTTGGGGGCCTGCTGGGCCACCCTCGGGCTGTTCTTCGGGGCCCGATTGGCCCCCCTTTGGCCTCCCACGGCCAAGCTCTATGCGTAGAGTTGGGCCCTTGGGCTTTCTTGAGGTCCCCTTTCGGGTTTTCTTGAGCTCTCAAGGCCCGCTTGGAGCTAATGTGCGGGTCCCTCGTGGAGCCTTCAGGCACCCGAAGGCCGATCTCTATGGGTAGAGTTGGGCCTTTGGGCCTTTTTGAGGCTCCCTTGGGGGCCTGCTGGTGGAGGTCCTCTGGCTCTTTTTGGGGGCCCTCTTGGGCCCCTGTGGCCACCCACGGCCCGAATCCTGTGTAGCGTTGGGCCCTCGGGCTGTCTTGAGGCTCACTTCGCGGGGCCCCCCCGTGCCTTTTGCGGGCTGTTCTTCAGGACCCTCTTGGATCCTTTTGGCGCCAGAGTTTGGCCGTTAGGTTTTCGCGACGCTCTCTTGGGGGCCCCTCGTCCCCCCCGACGCCCTCTTCGATTTCTCTGGCGCCGAAAGGCCGAACTCTTCGGGCCTTCTCGGAACTCTACATTGCCTCCTGGGCCCTCTTGGGGTACCCCTGCGGCGCGCTGTTTGGCTTCAGTGGCGCGCCCCGGCCCAACTCTGTGCCCTCGGTTTTTTGTTGAGCCTCTCTTGGGGGCCTCCTGGGGCCCGTCATCGAGGCCCTCTGGCGCCCCAAGGCCAAACTTTGTGCATTGAGTTGGGATGTTGCCCCTTCTTGAGTTGAGTTGGGGCCCGACTTGGGGACCCACTGGGCCGTTTTGGGGGGCGCTGCTAGACCCCGTGGGCCCCCCAATGGTTCAACTGCATGCATAATGCGGCCCCTCGGGGCCTCTTGGGGGCGCAAGGGCCTTTGGGCTCTTCTTCGGGCCCCTTTTTGAACTCCTCCTGCGCCCAAGGGCCCAGCTGCGCGCATAGAGCTGGCACCTTTTCTGCGCATTCTTGATGCTCTCTTGGCGGCCCCCTGGGCCCCCATCCCTCTTGGGGCTATTCTTCGGGGCCCTTTCGGATTGTTCGGGCGCCCGAAGCTCAACTCTATGCGTAGAGTTGGGCCCTTGCGCCTTCTTGAGGCTCCTGTCGGGGCCCTCTTGTGGCTCTACTTGGGAGTTCCCTCGGATCTCTGTCGCGCCCAAAGGCCCAACTCTGGAGCCTCCTGGGCATTTTGGGGGGCTGGTATTAAGGGCCATGTTGGGCCGCTCTGGCGCCAGAGTTGGGCTAGGTCATTATGAAGATTTCTTATTCTTTTGGCGCCCGAAGGTCCAACACTTTGTGCGTTTTTTGAGCTCCCTTGCTTCCTGGGCCCTCTTGGGGCGCTTCGCCGCGCCGGCGGGGCTCCATCCAGCGCGCCGAAGCTTAACTCTATGCATAGAGCTAGACCCTCTGGCCTTATGTTTTAAAGCTTGTTGTGGATTCGAACGACACCAAGCTCAACGCGTCCAGCGATGCGCGTGGACTTGGTTGGACCCCTGGGCGCTCTCGCGGGGGTCTGTGAGGCACTCGCAGTCCCGCGTGACCCTTCCAGCTCTCTTGGCCGCGGCGTTTCTCTCACCCCCGAATGACCCTCTGAGCCTCCCAGCCTCTCTCGATCATTATGCGCCCATTCTCGTCCGAGCTCCTGCGACCAGCACAAACCATTTGAACCGTATTAATAATCAGTATATTTTTATTGGTCAATGTTGACTTACTTCTACACCGATACCACGTAAACCTCCTGACCGCTGGGGCACCGTTGTGGTCCCGTTGCAAGTCCTCCCAACGGGGTCCTAGTGGGTTGAGTTTCCTGGCGGTGTTCTCGCGGGGTTATGTCAGGCCCCTGCGGTTTCCGAGCCGCGTCCAGCCGTGGCGACGAGAGGCAACAGAAACGCTCCAACGCGTACAAACTCAAGAAGTCGTCATCACCGCCAACACCAACATGCAGGAGGCTGCGCCACTCGTCCTCTTCGTCGCTGCCTCCGCCGTCGTCGTCGTTAACGAGCGTCTGGCCCAGACTCAGCCATTGCGTCGCGCGGCTTCCAATGCCGCACTTCCGCTTGCAAGTCGATGCGGGCGGAGAAAGTGTTTAAGTTTTCGAATCTAGGCTCAATAGAATATAATATAATAGAATATAATATGATATAATATAATATGATGTATTATAACATATGTTTTTATACATATATAGAATCTTCCGCATCAGTAGCTACACTCTTTGCGCGCGCGCCAACGGAAGTGAACGTATCAGATTTCAGCGCCGTCGTTTCCCAATGGCGGAAGAGCGGCCTGGTGCCGAAAACGGTGCGTGCACAATACGAGGAACTCAGCAACTACAGTTTTAGGAAGTTGGTTGCGGATCCGCACGCGCAGAATCTGTCCAATAGCCATCCCCCGTCTGCGATTGTTGTCGCAGAGCATGGGGGCGCCAGTAAAGGAACAAACCTGGATGCCGTTGGCGCCGGGGACACACGCGCACGCGCGGCCCCGAGGCCAGCGACGCCGCTGGCCTCGGGGCTGCGCGTGCGTATCTCCGTTGAACGCGCGTTTCCAGAGGGCGCCATTGGTTCCTCAGCGTCAGCTGCGAAATTCGCTGCCAAATCTCAAGGCGCGGATGCCGGTGGCCCCTCGACGTTGTCTCCCCAGCCGGTAGCGGATAGGTTTCGCCAAAAATTGCGCGGCTTGGTGTCTGAGTGGAGCCGTAATTTCTCGGCATCTGGGCGAGGTGTTGATACCGTGGCTGGCGCTCAAATTGCTTCTGCGGGAGCTCTTCGCTTCTTCGCTAACCCGCGCGGTGATCCAACGCCAGATGTCACATTCTGGGATGCCCCCGCGGTGATTTTGGCTGCGCGCGTTCTAAGGTGGGCGGCGCGCGACGCGGCCAGCACGGAGAAGGAGAACTCTGCGCGTTATCTTGCCATTGGCAGAGAGGCCGCTGCGGGTTTCGTCATTGATTGGAGAAGCCGGGCTTGCAGGGGCCAGAGTAGCAGCGCCATTCAGAATCATGTCAGGGAACATTTCAATGTGAGCATTGAGAAAATACGCGTGGCCGAGCGGAATATTTCGTCGGTCTGGGAGGGGGGGGGGGGGGGGGGGGCTTGCCCATGTAGCGATTCTCGTTGCCGCTGGCGCGGCGGGGGGCGCAGCGGCGCGCGGCTGGTCGCAGCTTGCTCGCGACAGCCGCGAGTTCCACGGGGCTCGCGTCTGATGCCAGCGGAAAAACTTGATTTCCCATCCTCCGCCTACTCCTCGTTATCCGAGGTCCGAATGTTCGGGGCGGGTTTCTGGGCGCCCCTTGGCCGCCGCGGGCGGGCCCGCACCGACGCCCCCGAACAACGGGCAACGCGGCAAAAAAGAGGCCAGGCAATGCCAAGCGATGCCGCACAATGGGAAGCAATGCCAAACAGCGCAAGGCAACGCGCAACGAGGCAAATCAACGCCAACCAATGCATTGTTGTGTATCGTTTTGGCCAGTTTCAACAGGGTTTCGATGAAAAGGGTGCCCATACTTTGCGAATCTGTTCTCGGTGCGTACTTCGGTGGCTACAGAATCCTTAACGGAGGCAGTGGGATCCTTTTTGTACAACTTGGATCAAAAAAACATGTTCATGCCCTCTGGCTCCTTCTGAAGCCCCTTTGGTTCCTTCTTAAGCCCCTGGCGACCCGTGGTCCGGAGGGCGGGGGGCATCGAAGAAGGTCGATCCATGTCCATGCTGGCGCCGCGCACCGCGAGCGCGCTGGCTCGAACACGTCTTGATGTTGCCAGAGTCGACGCGTCGCGGGCGCGCGACAAATGCCAGAGGAATCGCCGTCGCCCGCCGCTGGCGGCGCAACGCGTAGACGGGGCAGCTCAGTTGAGGAACGCTCAGACGATGGCAGGGGCGAACAGGACGATGGCCCGGGCCGTTCAGGCGATGAGCAGACCCACGGCGACTCCTACAGCGACCCCCCCACGCCGCCTCACCGCAGGCGCAGGCAAAACCCTTCACCGTTCAAACGCGAGCGACAGCCGCGGCCGCCGCCACAGCCACCGAAGGGCGCGGCAAGCGAGGCCGATAAGGAGAGAACACCCAACACGCGAGCCGATTGGGATAACCCTCCGCAAGCGTCGTCTCGGCGCGCCGCTGGCGGCGGACGTCGCAAGGCGCCGCCCGACCGCCGCGGCCGGTCCAGGGGCAGACGGAAACGTCGGAGCTCGCGTCGCGGAGAACCATCGGGCAGGCGCCGGGAACGCCGCAGTCGGACAGATAAGGCTGGATCTCTGACGCCCAGGCCCCACGAGGAGCAGCCGCGGCCAACCGGGCGGATCTTCTTCGAACCAGGTGCCATGATGGACGGCGGGGTTAAATGTAGGACCCTGCCAATGCAAGTATATTTGCGTTGTATGGGGCGGACGCTTGTCTGAGTGGGCCCATGGGGGAGTGGCGGATAGGCGGGCGTGCGAGTTGGACGGGAGGCGTGTTATCTTGTTCCACAAGCAAGGGGGGAATTTCTTCACCCATAAACTCTGCCGCGACAAAAACATTATGCGATCTTCTTTCGCCGGGGCCGCGAACTGGCGGAGGAACGGAGTGGGCGGAGTGAAAATCATTCCGCGTGGAGGCGCTTTCCGCCCCATTCAGTCCATGGGGGATTGGGGCGGAGTAGGGTGGAGATTAATTGCTCCGCGGGGGTCGCGGGGGGCGCATGTCCATATCAAAACTTTTCAGAGGGGCAGGGGATTCCAATATTTCACAACACCGCATAATATTTTGCTACGGCTGTGTAGGAGCAGATAGCCTCGCTGCGCAACAGGGCAATGACGCGCCTCGCCGCCCTGAACAGCAGCGGCGAAAGCATCGGGCTCTACCAGCTCAACGAGGTCGTTGTCCACAGGCCGAGCCCCGCTGGCAAAGCTCATCAAAAGCATTCGGTGCCGAAACAGGCAGTCCTCGGACATTGCCGCGCCTTCGAGGGTGAGCAGCTTATCGCGCCCGCCATTGGCGGCACAGCATTCCGGGTGTTCAAAGAAGCGCCCCCGCCAAGGAAGTCGGAGATGCCCGCGGTTGGCTGTGCCGCCAGTTTGCTCGTCGCTCCTGATTGGTGGTGCCCCCGCAAGTCATGGCATCTCATAGCTGGGGTCGCATCCGTTCCCGAACTTTTGCGGGGGTTCAGCAGCGCTGCAATCGCCGACGAGATCTTCCAGATGGGGACCAACTCTTGCGTAGCCGCTGGTAGGAAAATGTAGTGGCACGGCGTGGACAATGGTTTATCGGAAATTGCCGGTCTTGCATCGAAGTTTGAATGCCTGGGTGGGCGCTTCTAAGTTATATAAGATCGCACATATGACCTGATACGCGCGTCGCACAAGTGGCGAAGGATGGCGTTGGAATTGACGCGTCGGCGCACGCGTTTTGCCAGGTCAGAAGCGGCGTCGTCGCCGTTGGCGCCGGTGGCTTGCCGCGTTGCCGCTGGCGCGCGTGAGGCGTGGATTCCCACAGATGCATCGCCGCATGTCGGTGTGTTCCTGTGTGCTTTTGTTGTTGCTGTCGCAGGCATGCGCTGCGAGTGCCGTTGCGCGTGCCCCAGCGGCGCGCGCGCCGCGTGCAGTTTTGCTCGTGCTCGTGCTTGTGCGCCTGTCGCGTTCTGACTGCGGGGAACGATCGAGCGGAGGCCAGCAAAACAGTATCATAACGACGCGGGTTATGGGATGAGCCCCCCGCCACCAGCCGACTCGCTCGCGCCCTTTTGCCCCTTTCCCGATCTACTCGCGCTGCCCCCGAGCCAGTGGCGCGCTCTCCCTGTCCCTTTTCTGCTAGGTCATGCAGTGTTCGTGCCCCCCCAATTCAGGGCGTCTGGTTCAGCTATTTTTTCAGTCAGCCCTCCCCCGACGGGTTTGAAGCACCCCAGTGGCTGCGGTCACTCCCGGGCAGTCCTAGGAGCTGACGCCCCCTGGTCCGCGCCCATATCGCTACGCTGGGGCGCGCTTTCCGCCTCATCCCCGCGCTAGGTTAGCAGAGCAGAGCAGCCCCCAATGCGCGCATTGCTTTTCCTTGCCTCCTCCTGCTCCCCCTCCTCCTCTTCCTCGTTCTCCCTTGTATTTTCCCACGCGTTCACCGCAGTGGCGCCCGACGCCGCGCGTCGGCACACCTGTCAGAAGTTATGCGGCACCCGTAGGGAGTTTTCACGGAAGGTCCCAGCGGACTTCCCTGGTTTGGGAAAACATGTTTCGGGGGCACAAATTTGTTGCGTCGTCGTTATTGTTGTCGTGGTTGTTGTCGCGGTGGTCTTCGCGTTCATGGTCGTTGCGGATGTCGTGGTTGTCGTCGTCGTTTTCTTGGTCGTTGTCGTCGTGGTTGTCGTCGTCGTCGTTGTCTCTTTCGCGCGTCGGGCGTCGTCGTCGCCGTCGTTGTCGTCGTCGTCGTCGCTGTCAGGACTGACGTTCAACGAATGTTTGCCCCTCGGGGCCGCGGGCGTTCGCCGAATAGAAGTGTCGGAGCTTCCTGGCGTTCACCGAACGGTTGCCCATGAGGCCCTCGGGCGTCCGCCGAGCGCATGCCCCGCGGGCCCTTGGGCGGGCCGCGCATTTGCCCTGGAGGCATTGGACGTTCACCGGATGTTTGCCCCTGGGGCTCGGGGCCTTCGGGCGTTCACAGAATTGTTGCTCATGGTGCCTTCTGGCGTCCACCGCTTGTTCGCTCCTTAGGCCCTCGTGCCTTCGCCGAATGCGCGCCCCCTCTCGGGGCCTCTTGGGGTGCCTCTTGGGCGCCTCTTGGAGTGGCATGGCGTTCCCCGGGGGGAGGGGGGGGGGCGTCCTGGGTGCCTCGGGGGGTGGCTCTTGGGGCCGTCTGGGCGCCTGGGGCCCTCTCGGGGTTCTCGCGGGGGTCTCTCGGAAGCCTCTCGGGGCCCCATCTCGAGGCCGTCTTGGAGACAATCGATTTCCAGAGGGGGGGTCCTTAACGTTTGTCCCTTTTTCGATGGGCACGAAAGTCGCCTCTTGCGGCTCTCCCGGGGCCCTCTTCGGCCGCTCTTGAGCGCTCTGTGGGCCGCTTCGGAAGCCCGGCCGAATTGAGATGGCCAGGGCAGCGCATGAGCAAGGAGGGGGGCAACCGTTCTCGCTCGAGCAAGGGGGGGGGGGATGGGGGGGGCGAGAAGGAGGGCGAGGGGGAGAAGGGCAATGATGGATGAGGGAGGAGGGGGGAAGATGTGGAATGAGCGGATTATGAAGATGATGCTGATGATATTAATGGTGATGATGTTGATGATGGTGGTGGTGATGGCCATGGTGATGTCGATGTCGATGTCGATGTTGTTGATGGCGATGGTGATTGTGTTGATGCTGCTGATGACGATGATGCCGATGACGATGATGGCGATGATGCCGACGATGCCGATGATGACGATGGTCATGGTGATCGCGATGGCGTTGATGATGATTACGGCGATGGCGATGATGAGGAGGAAGAGGAGGAGGAAGAGGACGAGGAGGAGGGCGAGGATTGACGAGGGGGTCGAGTAGGAGGGTGACGATGAGGAAGCATAGGCGGAGGTGGACGAGGAGAGGGAGGGCGGCGAGCAGAAGTGCCAGAGGCTCCTTGGAGCGTCTCCGGGTATTTTTGGAGGTCCCGAAGGCCGCTTGGCGCAGCAGGGCACGGTTGCGGATGCGGCGGGAAGGCGCTGGCGGCCGCGCGTTTTGCGCCGCCGACGACCCCGACGACGATGACTACATGATGGCCCTGCATGGGCTCCAGAGGCCTCCGAAAGCCAGCGAAAACATTAGAGCACCTCCGTCAGAAGCAGCTTTTATTCAAGTTAAGCTTTGCTTGCGTTCTGCGGGCCCCGCTGCGCACTTCGCGAGCGCTTTACTCGCGTCGTCAGCATGGCGTCTCTTTTTTCTGTGACGAGCATAGCCTTACTTGGTTGCGCGGGGGCCGCGCAGCTCGGCGCCGGGGGATTGCCCACGGCGCGTGAAAGCAGGGCAGGATGGAGAAACATATACCAGATCCGCAATGGCCACGAAAGGACATGTCATCCAATTGCGCTGCCGCGCACATCCGCCACCGCGCTTGGGGGGGCTGCGCTGCCGGGCCGCAGCGATGCGCGGGCGTGGCGTTGTGTGACTTTCGCTTTGCCTCTGGTGGAGCGTTTTTGGAACTTTCGGGTGCAGTTTTTGAACATGGGGGCCTCCTTGGGAACCAGTTGGGGCCTCGGGTGGCTTCTTGGAGCCTCATTGGGGGCTTGTTGATGCTTCCTGGGGGCCTCGTGGGCCCTTCTTGGGCAATCTTGGAGCTCTCTTGGGCGCTTCTGGGGCCCGTCCTGAGGCCCTCTTGGGCCGTGTTCGGAGCTTCCTGGGCCGCCTTGGGCGCTTCTCGGGACATCTGGGAGCCGTCGTGGCGGGCCCTTCGGCCGTTTTGAAATTCTTTTTTGGCCGTCTCTTACGTTGCCAAGGCCTCGGAGGTGAATGGGCCCAACATATGTTTTCCTCCTCGGGGACTGTGACAATGTTTGCCTCTTTGGGCCCTTGTGGTAAGCCTCTTGAGGGCTATTTGGGACGTCCTGGGCCTTTTGGTGCCGTCTTGGGGACGTCTTGGGCGTCTTGGAGAGATCTTTCGGCGACCCGGGGCCCTCCTGGGCCGTCGGGGCGGCCTCTTGTTTTTCATTGGCCCGTGGCGGGGCCCTCCTGGGCGAGCGGGGGGGGGGGATTTGGGGGCGGGCAGGCGCCCGGGAGGGGGTAGGGGCCATGGGGGGTGGTCACCCCCAACATCGCATTTGGGCATTCATTCTGCCTGGAAGGGCATAGCGCAGGGCTTTTGCAACACAGATGAATGCGTCTGGGGCTCGATGCGTGGGGGGCCCGAGTTCTTGCGTCGCAAGGGGCGAAAGGGCCCGACGCGCACCTACCGCTAGCGCGGTGGCGGAGCCCCCCCCAAAGCCACAGGGGGCCATGGAGGATGTGGAGCTAGGATGTGGGCCAGGATGTGGGGCGCAATCCATGGCATCGACTTGCTCCACTTTGAGCCTGACATTGAAGGCCAGCCCTGCTGCCGTCATTTCATTGGACATTGGGGGGGCGATTGCTGGACTGGCCCTTGTGGCTATCGGTGCATCCAGGGTGGTGCTTCGTGCAGCGACCATCGCACATTGGACGACGTTTCCATGTGCGTCTGGGGGGCAGCCGCGACCCCCAACCCGACGCCCAACCCGACACCCAATCCGACGCCCAACCCGACGCCCAATCCGACGCCCACTTGACGCCCTTCCCGACGCCCAATCCGACGCCCACCCCGACGCCCAAACCGACACCCGACCCGACTCCAAATCCGACGCCCTTCCCGAGGCCCTCCCCGACGCCCTTCCCGACGCCCTTCTCGACGCCCTTCCCGACGCCCAACCCGACGCCCAACCCGACGCCCAACCCGACGCCCGACCCGACGCCCAATCCGATGCCAGATCCGGCGCCCAACCCGACGCCCAACCCGACGCCTAACCCGACGCCCGACCCATCCGACGCCCGTCCCGACGACGCCCTTCCCGACGCCCTTCCCGACGCCCTTCCCGACGCCCAGCCCGACGCCCAGCCCGACGCCCAGCCTGGCGCAGATTGCGGGGTGGACGACGCCACATTCGACATGTCCAGCGATTGGCGCAGCCGGCGGCGATGCGGCTGCCACTGGCGACCCCCGCTTGCAGAATGTCCATTGTGAGCGGCTGGTTCGATTTGATTAAGCTTGGCCTGCACGTTCTGCTTAACATACCGGAAAGAGTGCGCGCTGAAACAGCGTTGCTTCGCGTGCAGGCCGATGCGCGCCGCGTGAGTGACTCTTGCGCGGAAATGCATTTCGTCGATATCATTGTTACGGGGTCTTGGGCAGAGGCACGGCACTCTGGAGGGTATCGCCACGTCGTGTCAATCCGCGCACTCGAGGCTTCGGCATGGGTTGCCTTTTGTCAGGAGGTTGAGCTGAAAGTCGTTCAAGGACACACTCAAAGCGGCATCAACTACTTGAATGTGTATGTGACGCATCTAGAGCGCGCAGGGTTTGCAGTCGGGGGCCTGCTGGGGGA